GCTTACTACGAAGAAGAAATAGTTAGCGGAGCTAGCGAAGGCGTTACTAGGCGAGGGCCGATAGACGGGTCGAGCGCTCTATAAGGCTATAGCCGACTACTTTATCGATAACGACGACCCCCCGCCGCACTATTTAGGTAAATAGGAGTTTGTTTAGAAGGGTAAAGCGTTATAGGTCGAGATCCTAGAGGCCGAGAAGCTATAGGACATCGTACCGGGCTTCTTTGCCCTTTACCGAGACGCCGCTGCCTACGCGTCTAGTAGCCCGGCTAACGGTACGGAAAGCGGCCCGATTGATCCCGTTAGCGCGCAGCCTCTTAATGCGCCTTCGGCTTTAGAATCGGCACTACCGTCGATAATACCTATAAATCGACTAGCTTTACTAGAACTACTATCTCCGCTAGCGCGTATACTTCCTAATTTACTACTACTATAGGCACTCGCCTTCCTAACGTAGGCGCCGAGTAACGGCTCGCTACAAGCGCCCGCACTAGCTCCTCCTAAGCTCCTAGCTACTCCGATTAAGTCGGTTTTTAAGGAACCTCCGGTCCTATCCCCTAAGGAACTCAAGTTCGAGCGGTAGCGGCTTCGAGGCTAGCGCGCGCGCTAGACTTTAATTAATAAGCGTCTCCTTCGCGCTAACGAGACGCCCGAGCAAGCTACAATCCGGTAGTACGTAGAGTACGAGGACTATAATAAGAAAGTCGATGCGCTAATCGCCGCTAATCCTATAGAGCGTAACAAGAACAGAGACGTACGCTTTATCTAGGCCGCGAAGCTCGTACGCAACGCGTACGCTAAGGACGCTAATAGTCGGCTGCCTAATCTTTTTCGCCTACGCCTACGTAAGCGAATAGTCGAACACTATTTAGTAAGGCTTTAGTATTACCTATATTATCTGTACCTTATAGCTAGCGATCGGCGCTTCTAGATTCTACGCGAATTGCATTAGTATATAGGCAAGCTAGTTACCGATTTTAAAAACCTACTCTTTACGCAACCGTACTCCTTTTAAATCGTAAACGACGATCTCGCCCGTAAATACTCTATCTTTAGGACCGACCTCTACTCGGACGGTTACGATACGTAGTAGGAGATTTACGCGATACGCTTTAGCGAGTACGTAGCGCTTATAACGGCGGGCGAATTAAAGGAGCTTCCTAACCTAGCTAACCTCGATACGAATTTTCTACTAACTATTACTTTCTACTACGCGAAGTTGCAGTACCGACTTCTAGCAAATATTACCCGCTTACGCGAGAACTTCCTAGGCTTAAGTACCTATACTAGCGACTTACGATTCTAGCTAGCGCTATCTCTAATCCGCAATAGAGCCGTCGGTCTTATAGTACGCGCTATCTTGCACTTCCTATAGACGGTCGACCTCGTATAAGAGTAGTTCTACCGCTTCGTCCTAAAAGAACATCGCGATAGTATTATAGTAGGCGGTTACCCGGTCCTATATAAGCGTAGCGAGAACGGTAAGGACGTATCCTACCGTAACTACGGTAAGGAATACCTAAAGACGGGCAAGCGACCTGTTAGCGAACACGTCGGAGCGACGAAGTATTATAAGATCGACCTAACTACCTACGGCGAAGTCTAATTCTTATAGATAGTAGCTACCGGACGACTCTCGATAGTGCGCCTACCTCTACTAGACTCCTAGCTTAAGGATTATACAGTTTAGCTACTACTAATCGGCATAGAACTTAGTGCCTAGTCGGCTATATAGCTTTATAAGTAGTACGAGTCGTCCCTTAATTCTAGTAGTCTGCCCTACCTATACCGTCGCAACCTAGGTCGCCTAGCTATTACCTAGGACGTCGTCGCTTATACCTAGCGGTATATTACGGTCCGCAACGTATACACGCTTCGCGGCGAGGGCTACACCTCCGCCCTCTATACTAATAAGGCGCTTGCGGACACTAAGGCTACTAATACGTCGCGTACGGAATAGTACGCTTAGCTTACTAGTAGCGGTCGCTACTAGAACGGTACCTATGTAGCTAATAAGGGCAAAGGTATGCCTCTACTACTCCTTAACCGTTAGTGCCTAGTAGACTTCGGCCTAGTCTGCTAGCTAACATAGATCGATCCGGTATACGCCTTATCTACCTTTATCGCCTATATTTAGGCGCTTAAGGACGGCGCTATCCCTAATAGATTGCAGCCCGTACTAACGCTACAGTTCTACAATTTGCCGCGTACGGCCGCTACCGATCTAGTCTTCGATCCTTTAGGCGTCTAGGAGCGTATTATATAGGGCAATACTATTTTCAAGTACGATAAGATAGTAACGAATGAGAATTACTAGTAGTATAATATCGACTATACTTAGGATCCTATAGGCGCATTCCTAGTGCCGTTACCCGACTACTCGCTAGACGAGACCGACCTTACCGACGCGTACCTATTCGGTAAAATTATCCCTCTAGAGCTCGCGACTCGGGCTAAGCCGGTTGCCCCGCTAACTAAGGCGATCTAGCTAAATTCCTCGCGCGTATTACTATCGACTAAGTTAAACACTCGCTAGAAGCTAACCGCTAGCCCTTTCTTAGCGCCTCGCCTACCGTCGAAGATGCCGCCGCCGTCTAACCTATTCTCTATGCCTATAAAGGCTCTAGTCGCGGCTTAGCTACTACCGCCTAACAATACGGTTGCGTAGCTGTAGCATAAGCTCCTATCGCTTCCGACACGCTTGCTACCTCTGCCCGCCCTATAAGAAAACACTATAGGCGCGTATAGATAGTACTAATATAATGCGACGGCAATTAGTATACGTACGCTTAACTTATAAGCGCTCTACTATATGCGCTAGTCCGAGTTAGTAGCAACCGAGGTATACTAGCTTTAGTAGATACTAGCTAAGGCACAGATCCGCGAAGCTACTAAGCGCTAGATAGCCTAGTAGTATCGTCTTTCCGCTACGGTCTTAAAGGAGTCCCTTACGCTATCGCTAACCTATCTCTACTACGATTTCTTGCGCGTCGCGCCGCAATAGGCAATCCCTATACTATACCTAATTAACGAGGACGCTTTTAAGCTACTCGGCGGCGTATAAGGCAATACTACTAAAGATAAGATCGCGAAGCTTAACGTATAGATAGCCGACTACTTCAAGCTATACGGTGCTATACGCGATACCGATACGCTACTATTACTAGGTACCGATTTCCCTAATATCCCTATCGATTAGTTAGATCGCGCTACTGCTATAGCGGACGCAGTTAATACCTCGCTATCCGATAACAAGACTATAAAGACCGTCGCGCCTTAGCCGTAGCTAAAGGCGGTTTAGACTATACTAACTAGCTTACGCGACGCTCTTCGTAACCGTCGTAATAAGTAAGTATAAAACCGACGTAGTTATTACTAGAGAGATACGATTCTGTACCTAGCATTACCGTTCTAGTATACTGTTTAGGCTTAGCCTTTATGCGACGCTATTACGCTCTTTTGCCTTAAACCTTCCTACGGTGCGGCCTATTAAGGACCTTTGTTTTAGGATACTATAGACAGTGCCGACCTTTTTTATAGGGGGGGAGGCTATTACGATATAATACTATTGCATATACGATAGCAGGCAGCGGTCACTATCGACCGCTGCGGTCGCTATTGCTATTAATAGTAGGACTATTATATAGATAGCTTGCCTCGCGGCACCTTAGAGAAATTATTAACTTTTGCACCGTATAACCGTTACGATACCTTCGTACTATAACCGTGTGCCTAGCATTAAACATCTTCTACTAGCAGCTCGCGAGTCGTATTTAGCTATAGCTCCTTCTAAATAGTATATACATCGCGAGACTTAATAATAGCCTTATTCTTAAGCTATTTAAACTACGAGAGGCAATATCCTTCTAACTTATCGAACCTAGCTTCTAGTATCTTAATCTTTGCCTCTAGTTTAGTATTCTTTGCCTCTATAGCCTCGACTCGCGCCTATATCGCGGCTAGCTCGCTATTTCTATCGTCTTCTTTAACCTCTAAACTAGTAGTATAGTTAGACTTGCCCTTATACTTATAATAAGCGTAGACTCGCTCGCTCTTAGTATTAAGTATACAATACTTAAAGTTATTAGAGCGTATATAGTAGTAGCATAGCGCTAGTGCAAGCTTGCTAGAGTCCGTTTCTATAATAATTCTAGTAGCCTTATATTTCCGCAGTCTGTTTAATACTACCTTCTTCTTATCTAGTATCGCTATCTAATCGAGTAGCTCTTACTATATCTACGCGCTATAATACTAGAAATCGTAGGTATTTATAGTCGTAGGGCGTCGAAGTCTAGAGCGAGTTAGTAGCGAGTCTATAGCGATACGCCTCGCGACTTACGATAAATATTCTCCTCCTCCTACTAGTAAGTACGCTACTAAAGCTAAAGCTAATACTAAAGCTAATGCTAATACTAATACTAAAGCTAATGCTACTAAAGCTGCGCTAAGAATAAGGTCGCGCGGAATACTAGTTATAGCGGCTACTACTATCGGTGTCGCTATCGGTATTAGTATCGCTAGAAGAAGAACATTGCGAGGTAAGGCGCGGAAGTAGTATAGCGAGTCTAAGTAAGGTTTATCGCGACAATAGGCATAGTAAGGTTAGCGAGGAAGGTACAGGAAGAATAGGAAGCGACAATAGGCTTAAGTGAAGCCATTGAGCCTCTGGTATGTATAGAGCTCCGTCTACCACGAGCTTAATTGCGGTGGGAAGGTACGTCAGAACGTGCATTTGTCCCACGCGCTGCATGTGAACAAAACCTGTTTGGGTGGAGTTCAGGAGGAATAGCCACCGCATGGTTCTTGGTGTCTCGCGTTAAGTATTGAGCGTTTCTATTTCCCGTCGACATTTGAGCCCCGTACCTACCTTCACCACGGCTTCCTCTACCGCGTCTGGTAGAGCTTCTCCCAATCCTCGAAAGCTACAAGTACGAAACTCCGGCCATCCCAATCGATCCGATATAATACGCGAGATCTCGAGATCTCCGAATAGGGCCGTAATGACGGACCAGCTGAAGAACGGAGTCTCAGGCGTGCAAGAAGAAGCTCAAGATGCGACCAAAGGAACTCCTGTATCAGGCGTTCAGGAGAAGATAAAAGCTGGAACCGATGGTGTGCTCAGCACGCTTGATAAATGGGGAGGATGGATAGCAGGGAAGGGCAAAAGCATCATTGATGGCATCTTTCCTCCCGAAAAGCGAGCTGCCTTCTTGGCCAAGCTGCAGGACTTCATGCTCAGGAACCCGAAGCTCTCTGTATGGCATCCTCTCGCCATGGGCGTCAAGCCACTGACATAGATATCTAGGCTTTCTTGGGAATGAACCTCGCTCTTACTGGCATACCGCTCGGGCTTTTCGTGCTTTTCAGCTTGTCAGTCTTCATCTTCGCTCTGGTTGTGGCACTCGTGGTTGGCCTGCTGGTCGCTGTCCTCTTCACAGTCTTTATGGTCGGCGTGGCTCTGATTGTCGTGTTCCCCACGGTCATGTTCACGACTGGTGCTGCCTGCTTCCTCTTTCTGTGGGGTCTTGGAGGGTATTATATTCTCAAATGGGCTAATGGGGAAGGCGGAGGTGAGCCGAAGCAGGCGCCCGAAGGACAGTCCATTGGCGATCAGTTGAACAATCTCACTGGCGGACGTCTTGGGGGCTTTATGGAAGGCGCACGGTCGCAGAATGCGAAGAAGGGCATCGAAGGATACAATGATCGCTACACGAAGCCGGCAAACCAGGACTCGAAAGGCGAGAAAGGTTCGACTGCGTCTACGACAGGCTCAGATGCTCAGAAGCATGTGAGTGTTGCCTTGTCCGAGACGACGAATGCTGCTGGCGGAGTTCACAAGACAGCTACTAATGCTACCGACACAGTGAGCAACGCCAATACTGGTGTAGCGTACGCCAAGGGAGGCTTAAAAGGCACAACGGGGCTCCCTATCCCTTGATGGGACCGATCATTCAATGATTTGCATGGGACATGGCGTCGATTCAAATAATGCAGCATGGCCTTGACGAGCGCGGCGTTTCGCGGGACCAAGGTCGCCTGCGGTGGGAAAAGGTCTGCTCGTATCGTCCAACGGTACGAGTCTATACGCATGTATAAACCTGACGAGTGCACAGTCTCTTCGAAGAATCATTCCATTCATGGTGCATCATGCAAAATGCCTCGGAACGCCACGCTAAGTGTCAAAGCCCTTCTTTTCATGTCCAAATCACGACTGTGCCCGAGGACCATCATGACTAGTCTCTCGGATTTTTCTCAAGCGTAAACTACCAGCATCACGATTCCGATCATGATCGCTGCGCTGTCGGTTCTGTTTCCGCTTATCCCTTTCGTCTGCCTCACGCATCTCCTGCCCTGCCAGTTCAAGCTCAGTCATATCTTCTTTCCGCTTCGATCCTACCAATTGTGGATTTGCGTGTTGAGCAGCCCAGTCTCTTGTTCGTTGTTCAGTGGTAGTCTCCGCTGTGCCGACGTTGAGTCCTTTTGGCTGTTCTCGAGAGTCGGGTGGCATGTTTGTAGCTGGTTGTGATGTTTTCGTGTTGAGCGGCGCAACGCCGTCGACTTGGGTATCGTCGTCTGCAACTGCTGTTTCGTTCTCTGCGCCGCCTCGTGTGTTCTTCTTTCTAGGCCACATTGATGGGAGGACGATCTGCTGGAAGCGAGGCTCTACCACTCGGTCGTCAAACCATTGGTGTATTCTGCTTTCGACGAGTTGTGCGATCTTTGGCACGTCTTGTAGCCTGCTGCGTGACCCAACTAGTGAATGCACACTTAGATCTAGTCGATAGTCGTCGAGGAATGTGAATGTCAAAGTCGTTGGACTTCTTCCTGTCGGATTGAGAGGGTGGCCCTCGTTCTTCGCTGGCTGCCCCGATGGCGTACGGTGTATGCCGCCAGTAGCTTCATGTTCCTTCAAATCATCCATCGGACTGCTTACATCCGGTCCATCAGTGTGCACGGGATTCGGCTGCGAACTAGGCGAAAAGGATAGACTCAGCGTCCCACTGAATCGCACCACACTCACTGCCAAAGCCACCGGCAGCACCATAACGAAAGGTTTCGGATAATTCAACACCAGCTTGGTCTCAATGCCCAACGTCACCACATCGCTGAGATCGACATCCATCCTCGCCTGAAGTCTCTCGCCTCGTTGACCTGTAAGTTCCTTGAGCGGAGTGCCATTCTCATCAACAGGAATGACACGGCAATTGCTGAAAATGGGAAATTCTTCGCCCAGACTTATCTCTGTGACCTTGATCTCGTCTATAAAGTCCGGCTTACTCGACCCATTGAGGACTTGTGTCAAGCTTCCCAACACAGCTTCATCCTCCTGCGCATCTGCACGAAGCTGAGCTATGGTCTGGGCGACAAGCACATTGAACCAATCCAGACTTTCTGGCTGGTGTCCGCGCACGTTGTAATATGTCTTTTCCAATATTTTTTGCACAGTCAGACCTCCTTCTAGTCTTGGTTTGAGGATTGCCGGCATGGATTGGCGAGGCTTGAGGGCTGTCGACAAGGCTCTTGGGCGTGTGTGGGAGAGTGTTCGTTGGCGGCGGGCTGCCGCTCTGGAAGAGGCTCGCTCATCTGCTGAGGGCGCTTCTCCGAAGATGAAGAACTTGACGAACATAAACAGGATCAGGGCTAGAATCAATTGGCCAACCAAGAACCCGCTTGCGAAAGAGGCAGAGCTATAGCCAGAACTTGGTGGATATCCATACTGCGCTGCATGTTGCGATTCTGCACTCCGCACGTCAGTTCTGGTAGGTGAATGCCAATTGCTCGAAGACCGCACGTACGCTGATATGCCTGCTGCTTAGCTTTCGACATCGCGCTGACGCAGCTACCAGCGCTTCGTGCTCCCTTGTCGTGTGTTTGGGTGTCTTGACGATGACGAGGTGAAGTTGTTTTTGAGGTTGATGATTTAGCGCGATTGATTGAGCTCCATCAAAATTTGACTACACGCGTCCGATGACGCGCATGGCTTTGAGACTTCTGCACTTGGTCTTCGTCCTTGCTATCTGTATTGCCAACAATGAGATGACCCGAATCATAGCCGGCGGGCTGTAAGCGTAGGATAACATATCGATGTCCGGCAAGCGGCTGATTGATGCCGCGCGACTTGCTGGAGTAGGTCTAAATGTGGTCAAGAACCACTTCAAGATCCGCCAGGAGCAATGGCAGCTTTTGACGAAGACCTCGTCTGTTGCTAGAGCCGTGAAGAATCAGACGGATAGAGTGACTGTGACTGCGGCGGCTGCAGTTGAATTAGCCAAGAGAGTCAATGAGACTGGGCCGCAATGGAGGGAGGATGGAGCAGAATATATGCGACGGCAAGGGAGAGCAGCTGCTAAAGAGGTGAACAACTTGAGGAACGATGCGGCAACAATGGCGAAAGATGCAGGTTTCGAGCAGGCTGCGGAAACATTGAGAAGTGCAGGTTCTCATCAAGCAGACAGCCGAGATCAGAATTCAGGCGACGATGGCACGTTGGCAAGTCTCAGAAAGCGAGAGCTCCAGCGTCAAGCAGAAGCACAAATACCTGCTCAAGCAGCAGATACACAGGTGGCAGGTAGCGGGCACGACACATTCAACGAGCGTTCAGAACATACATCGCCTGAGCTGTCATCATTGCCGCGAACCAAATTGCCAAAGCATGCAGAGAAGGCGTCAGATGCGGGCGAAAGCCTGCAAGATAAGAAGTTGAACCAGGATACATATCCTGTCCCCAGTGAAGGCGATGAACAGCTGCCGGAAGGTGTCAATATAAACGCTTTCCACAGCCCGAGAGTGTCGAGAATGGTGGGCGCCAATGGGCCCCAAATGCAAAACCCCTTCGCTGCGCGGAAGAAGCTACCACCGAAACCGCTAAAGGAAATGGAGGAGGCTAGCAAGCGATGGGAGGAAGAGAGGAGGGCAAAGGCGCAGCAGGGTGTTGAAGCTATGGAGGCTAATGCGCAGACTGTTGAGGCTCCGCAGCCATCTTCTGCAACCACAGCAGCGAAAGCCACGACTGAGCCGCTTAGCTCGAGGTCGACAGATGCTGAAACTCAAGACCTTGCAGCTGAGATTGCGCAGGCCCAAAATGCAGCTGTTGAAGAACAGCCTGCAAGCAAGCCATACGAGATGCACGAGTCGCGCGTACCTGCAACACGCTTTGGCCGAATATGGCAATACGGCGGGCTCGCGACAAGCATGGCCTTTGGAGCTGTGGGCGAAAGCTTTCGTCGCATGACAGGAGGCACTGGTACAGGAAGCCTAATGCTCAGCGAGGGCAACATGAATCGACTTGTAGCAAAGCTCAGCCGTATGCGTGGCGCAGCTTTGAAGCTCGGCCAGATGATGTCCTTTCAAGACTCCAAAATCCTGCCTCCGACCATCAATGCTGTGCTGCAAAGGGTACAGGATAGCGCCGACTACATGCCATCGTCGCAGCGAGACAACGTCCTGAGCAGGAACCTTGGCTCAGAATGGCGAGAACTGTTTTCTAATTTTGAGGACAAGCCTTTCGCTGCCGCTTCTATTGGTCAAGTTCACAAGGCCACGCTGAAGAGTAATGGCAAAGATGTGGCTGTCAAGGTGCAGTATCCTGGTGTTCGGAACAGCATCGATTCTGATCTGAATAATCTGTCCCTCCTCTTGACTGCATCTCAGCTACTGCCAAAAGGTCTGTTCCTTGATAAGACCATCGCCAACGCTAGAACAGAGCTTGGCTGGGAATGTGACTACGAGCGCGAAGCCGCAGCTTGTAAGAAGTTCAAAACGGAGCTCTTGTCCGATGAACAAGATATCTTCGTCGTACCAGAGATCTATGATGAAGCTTGTGGTGACGATGTTCTCACAGCAGAGTTCATGCACGGTACTGCAGTGACCAAGATCCGTGATCTCAGTCAGCCAGAGCGCGACTGGATTGGGACGAACATTCTTCGCCTCTGCTTACGAGAATTAATGGAGTTCAAGTACATGCAGACCGACCCGAACTGGACCAACTTCCTCTACAACCGGAGAACAATGAAGCTCGAACTTCTAGATTTCGGTGCCTCGCGCGCCTTTCCCGACAAGTTCGTTGAGCCATATGTCGAGCTCCTCATTGCCGCTTCAGGCAACGATCGTGAGGCATGCCGTGATCTGTCAATCCAGCTAGGCTACCTCACAGGACACGAAAGCCCTGGCATGCTCAGAGCGCATGTCGATAGCATCCTGACTCTAGCAGAGCCTTTCGTGGAAAGTGCTCCAGAAGTGTACGATTTTGAAGGTCAAACTGTCACAGATCGAGTACGGAATAACATCGGTCTGATGTTACGAGAACGACTCGCGCCGCCTCCCGAAGAGACCTATTCGCTGCATCGCAAGCTTTCCGGGGCGTTTCTGCTTTGCGCGAGACTGAAGAGTAAAGTTCGTGCACGAGACATGTTTGCTCAAGCGAGGGATGTGTGGAGAGGTCGTGCGAAGAATGTCAAGATGGACTGAAATCATCGTTACGATGCTGATAGAAGTACAGATAGATATCCATGTAGAGCACGAACGCGGAAAATGTCATCGCTCAGTCGACATGAATGTCATACGTGAGCGCATACCTCCTGGGTCTCAGCTTCTTCGGTCTTGGGTAGCTGTAGCTCCTTGCCTTCAAGTCTCCCGGCACCCTCTTCTGGTTCGCTGGCCACACCTATTGTACCGTAATGCCTCCGATCTCTCCACGCCGAAACTTCTCCCCTTCTCCCTTTCCGCCAGAGTACTCGATCAAGAATACAAGCCGCAGCAAGACACCCAGAACCAGCCAAGAAAACCCAACCAAGCCGCGCAAGAACATCCCGCACGTCACGCTTCCCCAGCACCTGTACCTCAACTCGGTAATCCTGATCAATCCTCAAAACCCAGACCCAAAAACAAACCTCAGTCAAGCAGAATGCGAGAGCAGGGAATAATATCCTTTCCCGTTCCCTCAACCCCACAATTATCCAAGCACACTCCATCAACCACGCCGCAAAGAAAGCTAGGACGTATCTCAGACTCCAAAGACTTCCTAGCCAGCCACCAATAATCGGCGTGTCGTCTTCGGCCACGGATATTGAGCCGAGAATTGCACAGATATGCATGAAGAGTAGCAAGCTGAAAGTTTTGTTTTGGTCGATTTCGCGCATGGGTTGGTGATAGTTGGCGATGAGAAGTTTGGTGATGAGAATTGTGGTTATGAGGATTGGGAGGAGGGAGATGTCGGCGAGGGCCATGGTGGAACAGTCTCGGTGGTTGGAAGTTGGAGGCTGTTGAGGTTTTTGTTGTTCTGGTGAAGGTTCTGGCACTTTTATCGCCGGCAACGTATTCTATGTCGTACACGGCACACCGGTTTGAATCACATGCAGCATACACTGAAGGGTTGTGGCGCACATGCTCAAGTGAGGGCTGTGAATAGGTCTCTGCTGCCTTCGATGTGAGGTCAAGTACATCGGAGAGCGCAAGGTATGACTCCGTCGAGTGACAACAGCTAGGGTCGCTGTCTCAAACACAGTAGGCTGGTCTCAGCCTTTGCTTTGAGAGCCGGCAGCTTTTCCTTTTGAGACACAGGCTGATCCTCCTACCCTTCACTTTCAGCTACATGTGCGGCGAGGTTGTCCCTTCTCCATCAGGAGCTGAGGCAATAAGGATCCACTGATCACTCGTATATTGACGAGCTCGATGTGCAGTGATTGCTGGTTCAGCCTCTAGGATGTACGAGACCACAATACTTGAAGAGGGCTTTCTTGGACTTCCTGGACCTAGAAAAGCCAGCTTTCACTGATTAAGAGGCCTGCAGCTGTGCATATAGACCGCACAGAATCACGAATTCTGTACATCCCAGCCGTGGCAGAAAACAGCAATACAAGCCTGACCTTTTACCATGACCTTCGTCCTCACCCAACTACCCTGGCATCCTCAACCTCGCAACCATAATCACGATCTCCGCTACTTACTACCTCTTGGATAACCACCTCGGGCCATACCGGATCCATCCTCATGTCGTCCGCCACGACCAATCATCCTTCGCCGCGTCCAATTGTGTCTCGCTTACCTCTTGACAATGGCTTTCATAGCGACTGGCAAGATCAACAGCTTTCCTAAAACTATGTTGGTCAGTATCCAAGGTGCTATGATCGCTGAAGCTCTTGTGATCTTTGTGGTTGGACTGATTGAGGTGACGAGATGGGCGACGGATTTGGTGTTGGGGCTGCAACTCGGTTATGAGTGGGATTTATATGGTCGGGTGTAAGGATGAAAGGAAGAAGCTGGGATTGATATCTTTATGGTTGATGGGACAGAAATGCACGATTGTGGTAGGTGAAAGCCAACATACTCCTATCTCGACTCAAACGACATCGCACATATCGCTGAGAAACGTGCAAGGAGCTGCTGGAATAGCCTGATAGACGTGACCATAAGGGTCACAAAGTCTTGTACGTTTCTCTTTATGCTATGGATGCAAGATGATCATCAAAGATGAGAAAATCGAAGCAATCAGACACATTCTCTGCACATCTTCGTACAGAGACCATTATTTCGAGCAATTTGCGGTCCAGAAAAAATCAAATGCCATTAAAGACAGCTGAGAGTCCTTTACACAGAGGAGAACACATAACTGGGTGCTGTACGCATCATCATAGACGGTCGGGTTGAGTCAGGCTGTGATGAGCTTGGTAGATGTGTTCTCTTCGAAACGTGCTTAAAAACGTGCGACACTTTTTCAGAGTCTCCTGATGACTCCACCAGAGATTCCACGTCCCAGTTTGCACATTTGTGAGGAAGGTGTCACAAGATCTCGTAACCCTTGGAGCGAAAGCCACTCGCAGCTTGAAGAGATCACCGAATCAAGTATAGATGTCCCCATAACGTGCGAAAGGTATTCAGATCGATGAAATGTACGAATAAGAAGTGTTTCACCGACCTTTGCACGTTTCCCGCCTCTCTGCACAAGTCCACCACTAACAAGGCTGAGCAACCAACACTAGAATGCCAAGATCGGCACATCCTGAAAGATTCGTTTCGAAAACGTGCAAACCGCTTCTAACAGCTCTTTAAATACACAGAGAACGCACAGTTTGAGGTCTGCACGTTTCTTAGTACTATACATAAGTCTGCCTTTGACGAGGCTGAACAGCCAGTCAGGCTCCAGCCAGCCCGGACTAGCCGAGATCTACATATCTTCGACAAATTGTGCAAGAAACGTGTAAGCGGCGACTTACGGACTCGAAGAACCACAAAAAAGCATTGAAGAAAGTTACGCACGTTCTTGCGGAGGTGTTGTCGAACGATCGCTATCCGCAAGGCTGAGCAGCCGGTGCGGGTGTGCCAAGAGTACTCAACGAAACCATGATCATTATGTGCATGAGATACTCGGAGCTCTTTCAATCATCATTGAGAGCCCATCTACAAACTTTTGTACGTTTCTGGAGCATCGCGGCTGCGTCACCGTTGATCCAGGGCCGACGCTTGTTTGTCCGTATGTAGCCCAAGGCCGCGAGGACTTCGTGCATAAAGTTCCAAAAAAAAACGTGCAGAAGGCACTGGAAAAGAGGATTGAGTGAAATAAAAAAACCTCTGCCCTAGCTTGTGCACATTTCCAAGCAACTTTGACCTCAAAGTATTGACCGCAGACCGACATCTGTGCGTTTTTCTGTAAACATTGCGAGAATTGCGTACGCCGATCTCAGAATCGTGCAAGTGATGATCCTCTCGTGGAAAAAAAAAGGTTTAGAAAGCTTTTCCCTAGCTCCTGCACGTTTCTTTGCCGAGTTCATGTCAGTATCGATTGAAGACTGAGCTCGAACCAACACTGTGAGAGCTCCCGATTCTAAGCCGAAACGTGCGAACGGCAATCTATGACCGTGGATAGGATGAAAGAAAGCTCTTGTTGGACCACTGCACGTTTTGTGTGCGTATACGAGCTACCGAATGGTTAGGTGTGCTCTCAGACCTGAGGTGAGAACAAGTGCTTCGAGAACTGCCACCACATGGGCCGAAACGTGCATAATGTGGTGAACCGAGTCTATTGGACTCAATGCAGGCTGTATGCAACGTTTTGCACGTTTCGGAGCTGAGATCGTTGCGGTGCAGCTATCTGATCAGGCTGACATCGGAGCAAAGCTTTCCTGAATCTCGGCAGATATGTGTATCATGGTCCAAATCATCAGTTACGTATCCAAGAAACGTGTGAGACCTAGAATCTTCCAAAGCCGGAAGCTTGATAGCTCATCAAGAACTGAGATCGCGAAGAGTCGTGGTGGTGGACACGAACGTAAGAAGTGGTTGGGCGAGGAGACATTCTGGGTCATGAATGCAATAGTATCTTGTGCTATTTATGTAGCACGCTCGTAGCAATGGGTATCTCGATATCGCTCGCTGGAAAAAGATCAACCTGGCTCTTCATCTAAACATCCTCTTGCCGCCTCCACCAATCCTAGGCGCAGCAATATCTCTACCATCGACACCAAACATGCTGATGCCAGTGAAACCTACGTTCCCTCCGGCTCGCGACTTCTTGTACCTCCTCAGAGCCTCGCGCAAGTGGTCTGGGAGGAGTGGTCCTCGATCACATTCTTCGATGTACTTGGAAAGGCCCCAAGCACCAGGCTGAACCTGACCAAAGTCGTCTGGTAGATCATCCAAATCAAGTTCACCCTTATGCGGCTTCTTCTTAGGTGTACTGTCCTTCAGAGTAGACTGCGAGCCGTTCGTCAGGGTAGGAGTCGACTGACTGCCATTTGGCTTTGCGCTGCCTGCGCTGTCGGGTGATTCTTGCAGAGCGGGTTTGGCATCTGCGGGAGAAGACTCGCCATTGGGCGTCGCATTGCCCTTTGAAGGCGCCGTATTTCCATTTTGCGATGGCTTGCTCTGATCCGCGTCCTTTTCTTCTTCCGGCCCTTGGTTATCCTCGTCTTCATCTTCGCTTTCGGGCTGCATCAGCCTTAGTCGTTTGTAAGCTAGCTGTTCTCCACCATCGGGTCTTGTCGGATTCGCAGCCATCCATTCTGCTTGTGCTTCTCGGGCTCCTTCGATCAGCATGCCAGCGAACATCTTGGTGTACGCTCCGACCACTGTGACCACATTCTGGGGCACACTTTGCGATAGCGTAGCATTGACCAGCTTCCTCACATCCGCCGTACGTAGTTTCACTCGACTATATGCATCATAGCGATTTTGGTGTCCGGTCGGCACGGCTTCTCTGAAGAGGTACTTGCGCTGGTTCTCGCGATCGATCTCGGCGGGATCCATGGTGAAGGCGTCTCCCCTCGCGCCAAGCCCTCCATCTTCTTCATCCTCGTCATCATCCTCGTCAGCCTCGCCTGTGACAACAGAAGGCGCGCCTGCTGTTGGAGTTCGTCCTTTCCGGCCCTCCTCGCCATTCACCAAACTCACTGAGCCAGTTCGCGCCTGTCCGGGTCCGCCTTTTCGACCTCGCCCCCTTGTGCCCTTGTCTCCCCGCTTACGCTTCTTTCCGGCGGAAGCAGCTTCTCCTACTGGACCACTAATCGCTGAAGTGATCTCGCTATCGCTGAAGTCGTCCAGTCCTTCGTCGCTAGTTGCGCCGGGCGAATACTGAGCTAAGGTGCGGTCTTCTGCCAGTTGATGCTGCGCTTCGAGGCTGTCTGGCGGCGGAAATGACGTCTGCCTAAGAGGGTGCGCCGAGCCGGGCGCTGTAGATGGTGCCAACGACGACTTCCTAGGCTTCATGGGAAGGGCGAGTGCTGGTCGCTGGCGGGGTAGTGCGAGCGGTGACGGACCTGGCGGAGACCCGCCGCCTTGGTATGGTGGCGACGCCATCTTTGTGGTTGCTGAAGATGGTCGCGCGAGTCCGTATGCTCTTGTACAGGCCCAGGGAGATTGCGCAAGTGAACATCGAACATCGAGCTCGATCGTCACATGCAGTGCCAAGGCTCGGCTAAACCTTCCGGCAAAAGCGCGTCACCCATCCGCGACTCCTCTGGAACACAACTCAACTTTCGTTTCTCAGGATCATCCATCTTTTGTTGAATTGGTCTCGGAGGCATACTAGACCTATCGTATTGCCGGAAGAGACAGCAGGGTGGTCTTGGCTTCAATGCTGACGAATCATGCATCCAACATAGGGCATGCTCGATCATTCTCGTATGGGTATGACGTACGACAGGAATTAGAATACCAGGGCATACAATACACTTACCCAAAGTAATCTTGAAACGCACAACAGTATGCTTGCCCAAATGATGTGATGGCTCTGAGCTTTCTCAGCCGTATCAGCCGTATGGTTTAGCTGGCCTGCATGTACTCGGAGGATCCGTTTCCGGAGCTCCCATGCTGATTGTCCCGAGAGCAATATGTACTGTATCCTCAATCATGGCCGACTATAGCGGAATCCCTAAAGGAGCTACTCTCCAGCCTACGCCCTTCGTAGCCAAGGTTTCGGAGGAGAAATTACAGCTATGCAAGGATCTCATTCGATTGTCTCCAGTCGGGCCGGAAACATATTCTAATACCATCACTGATCGTTCAGATGGCATGCGTAGAGACTGGCTCGCCAATGCCAAAAAGATCTGGGAGACTAACTACGATTGGCGAAAGACCGAAGCAAGAATCAATGCCTTTCCGAACTTCTCCGTCACCATTCCGGACGAAGATGGTGATGACATTGATCTACATTTCATAGCTCTCTTTTCGCGGAAACAAGACGCTGTGCCAATCTCGATGAGTCACGGCTGGCCCGGTAGCTTCCTCGAATTCTTCCCGCTGCTGGATGTTTTAACAGAGAAGTACTCTCTAGAAGACCTGCCTTTCTATATAGTCGTGCCAAGTCTTCCTAGTTACACATACAGTAGCGTCCTAACAACGAAAGAGTATACTGTTCTAAAAGTAGCTACCCTCTTCGACAAGCTAATACGTAGGCTTAGTTTCGCTAGCTATATCGCTTATAGTAGAGATATAGGCAGTAGTATCACTTTTGTACAAGGCCTAGCTAGTGCTACATATAAGGCTATATATATTAATAACATCTTTATAGCCCCGCTAGACGACGCCGATAAGCTGCCCTTAGACGAGGTAGAAGCTATAGCGAAAGCGCGCGCCGATAAGAGCAATCTAACTTGTTTCTTATATACTAGCGAGTATATAATACGCCTAGGGACAATTAGTCTCGCTCTTTAAAGCAGTCCTCTTACTCTCTTGTCTTAGATCGGCGAGAAATATCTCGAATAGACTAATAAGGATCCCCCTCTCTAAGTAAGTATAGATTATCTTAATAAATAATAGGAGCGACGTAGAGCTAATTATATCTATAGTATATTCTCGATATAGTAACGCTTTACTATACTACGATTTAGCGGGATAGCGGACGGCGGTAATCCCTACTAGCGCGGCGCTAGCTAATTTCGGTTATAGCCGCAATATACTAGAAGCTTCTTAGCCGTTCCTACTACTTCCTACTATTTCTAGGATTTAACTACTTAAGTACCGTTTTCTGCCCGTATAACGGTTACTACTAGCGCCTCGCTTATTACTAAACTAGCTACTAATCTAATAAACCAACTAACTAAATTCGACTATTTAGCTAATTAAAATGCTGTACCTCGCTACGCTACGTACGCTACGACGTTATACTAACTACTTAGAACGTATAGCCGTTTATACTATAGCTAGATATAGCTTAGATAACTAAACAATCTGCACTAATACTAGGATCCGGATGCTAACTATTCGTCGAATTCTAGAAAGACTAATTATACTACCTCGCTTACGTAGCCGTAGTAATAGCGTACTCGGTATACTAGTCCGAAAACGGCTAGCCGAGGCTTGTTTAGCTAATCGCGATTAAAGAAGGAAGAAATAGTATAAGGTAGCATATAAGCTTAGTATTTACGAGTTGTCCTACGTTATTAATCGCTTAATAACGTAGGAGGGGCTCGGCCGCTTCCGACCCCTATATACCCTAGAAACGTTCTCCGTAATCCGAGAGAAGCGAGTTACGTAGTATCGCCGATTCCTTAAGACTAATTAGCTAAGAACGATTTATACTAATAAGGTTAGTCTTCGGCTTATTTTTCCGAGAACGTAGGTTACGCGGCGAGCTAATAATATCGACGATCGAAGCTACCCTAACGCAATCGAGCCGTAGAAGCCGAAAGCCGTAACCCTATATTTCTAAGAGTCTATCTCGGCTTTTAGCATTAGATCCCTAATTAAGCTACCTAAGGACGAAATATAGACTAGCTAATACTATCGCGAGAATATCCTACCTTCGGTTATACTATTTCGCTTAGCGCTTAAAATAGAATAGGGCGGCTCCTTCTTATTAGTCGAAGATAACGCGCTATATTATAGGGCGGGGCTAACCGTTAAAGCATATACAAATATAGGGACTAATCGTATAGCGCTACTATCCTATTCGCCGGAGCTAAACCTAATCGAGAACGTATAGAGCTATTAGAAGGATCGGATTAGTAAGCGGATACTGTAACTAGGTATAGTTACCGAGCTCTAAGATACGGCTAAGGAAGAGTAGCGTAGAATTTTAAGGAGTTACCTTTAAAATTTGTTTAACTCTATACGGAAGTATTATAAAATAATTATCGCTCGTAGTAGTTACCTAATCGAGTATTAGCTAGCTTTATTTCGCCTCTTAATCAAATTTAGTTAGCGCCGCGCTAGTAGGGATTACCGCCGTCCGCTATCTCGCTAAATCGTAGTATAGTTAACGGAGACTATAGCGCGCTATATCTATCCGTATCGTCGTTATAAAAACTTTTTTTCCGATCCTCGATAGGATCCTCGCGATCGAAATTTCGGGACGGGCCGTCCCGAAATTCGAGGCCTAGGAACGTAGAGGACGCGGGGCAAGTAGCCGCAAGTTAGAGCCCGACTACTACCGTACCTACTCCGTATACTACTACTACGAGGAGGTATTTCGGGATATTGCGTACTAATATAGGTTAAATTTAGCGGTTTAGTAGGTTTTTTTTATAAATAAATTTTTTTCGTTAAGGTTTCGTTAAATACAGCCGATATTTCGTTAAGGTTTCTTTCAAAAGCCGACGCTTAATAAGCAGAACTTTGAAAAAAAGTACACTCGAAACACTCGAGATTCTTTTCTAGATTCTAAGATAACTACTAGGTATTATAACTTCAAAATTTATAATACTCTTATTAGTATATAGAACTTTAAGTTCTATTTTTTAGATTTCTAAAAATAGTAAAGTGTAGCTTAGAAAAGCTAAAATACTATATTGCTTATTTCTGTTCCCTAGTTTAGTTTCGTAGAAAATCTATAAATTTTATATTTTTTTATAATAATATACTAAAAATAGAGTACCTTTCTACTATATTACTAAGCTATAAACCTGCTAGAAAAAAAGATAAATTAGAAGTAAAATGTCTAGAAAAGCGATTTTCTTTCTTTTATATCTTTTTATCTAGAAGGTTTACGGCTTAGTAATATATAACAAAAATGTTCTATTTTTAGTATAGTATTAGGTAAAAGTCTAACTTTTATAAGTTACCTATTTATCGTTCTAGGGTAGCTTAGGATCGCTCGGGATCGCTCGCGATCGCTCGCGATCGCTAGGATCGATAGGATCGTCGCGATCGGAAAAGAAGTTTTCGTAACGGTGTATTCTAGGATCTAAACTAGAGGAAAAGTTTTAAGCCTCTAGTAACTAAACCGTTTAGCTATAGCTTCTTCCCTTACGATATTTCGCCGACTCCTCGATCCTAGGCCGAGAAGTCGATAAAACTTACGTAATATATTAGACACGAGAATAGTAGCTACTTTCTAGTACGTGTAATGTTTACCGTAAAAGAGACTAGTACTAATTTCTCCTATAGGGCATTAAAAAGCCGAAGGAGCTACTAGACGATATCGAAGCATTTATAAAGATATTAGACTAATACTTTACAGCTTTAAAGTTCAAACGCTTAAATACAGGCAGATAGACATAATCAAAATTTCTAACTTGTTATTTGTAACTGCGGTTTACTAACGATATAGCGACGACGAGCTATACGATTTCTTAGCACCGATAAGCGTCCCCTACTCTTTACGCGGCTTCGGCGCTAGCTAACCTTTTACCTTTAACATTGTTATTAGTATAAAAGACTACCCTATGTCTGTCCTTTGCCTTTAACTACTTAAGAGAAGCGTAGGTATATCGAGGAGATAGGGAGCATAGTCGAAAACGACGCTTTAGATAAGCCGCAATAGCTTATAACTACTAAGAAGAAACGGCAAATACAACGAGACCTAATAAAGCCTTTTATAGGACTTAGTATAAAAGCGGAGCCTATCGTTAATGTTAATAATATCTAGCAATTAGCTTAGATGCTTAGCGAGGGCAAGGTTAAAGCCTACAATATTTGCTAAGTATATATTAAGAAGTAAGATCGAACCTATAGGAGAGCTATACTAGGCGAAAGGTTAGCTAATATATAAATAGAGCTATAGCAGCTTATAAAAAGGTATAAAGAGTCCGGATAGAGACTTTTAGCATTCGATTAGTATAACTAACTAGGCTAGACAAATTGCTTTATAGGTTCGCTACTCGTATACAAGCTAGGGATGTAATACTAATAGATTAGAAATTTTGTTCGACCGTGCTTTAAAACGAGTAGAAGAGCTAGACGCCTACTATTTATAGCATAGCACAACTATAGGTCCTCTCTATAGTCTAGTTATAACTCTTAAAGACTAGTTCGATATTAAAGGCTACGACTTAACTCTAGGATATATCGGTAGAGCGTTTAAACCTACTAGCGATAATGCTTTACTAGTTAAGATCCTCGAGAGACAAGGAGCTATCTTTATTATAAAGACAAATCTGCCTTAGAGCATTATAGTATATATTCTTTCCTTCGAGGAGAAGTACTTACTAAACTGTATATAGTAGTAGTACGAGACCGAGAACCTACTTTTTAGGCTTACTACTAATCTAATAGACGCGAAACTTATACCTAGTAGATCGACTAGTAGTAAAGGAGCCTTGCTTACTAAACACGGTTCGCTCTTAGGATAGGGCACTAATATTAGAGGGAGTATACGAATTCCGTCTTATATAATAGGTCTGTATAGGCTTAAACTAAGCGTAAGTTACGGAATTAATCTATATACGCTTCTAATAACTCGGTAGTCTAGACGACTTCCTTACGATAGAGTTTAGGTCTCTACTTCTAGTTAAGAGTATATACTATTAGTCGTCGGTCCTCTCGCGCGCTCCCTTTCCTTACTCGAATTTGTAACAAAGCTCGTAATAGGTACTAAGCCTTAGAACAACGACCCGACCTATTATAGGCTTCCGTAGAGATAGGACGTATACGATTACGTTAGATCTCGGCCGCTTGTTATTAGTCTTCTCCTAGATAATAGCAATGTCCGAGTCTATCCTTCGATCGAGCGAGTAGTAAAGCAGGTCGCTACTAAGCTTAAAGCTAATAGCTATATTATTATTCCTTAGAATAGTAAAGGCTATAGCGAATGCATATAAGTTATAGATCTATTCTATATAGCCGATAGAGGAGAAGACATTAAGAACGATATTAGAAAAGAAGGCGAGCTATTCTTACCGTACGTCGAAGCACTTATTAATCGAGCCCTAGCAATTAGCGTATATAAATATTAGGCCCTAAATCGTCGCAAGCGCGTAGCACAAAAGTTCTACCTAGAGAAATAGGACCGGATTCGTAACCCTAAGACTTTACGCAAAGTTAATATCCTGCTTATACCGACTATAATATATCCTACGGTACCGTACCGTACCTATAAGTAGTATATAGAGCGTAATTCGTATCTTAAGCTTCGAGCCTATACTAACACGTTCTCTTTTTTTAGGGTTAGATACACAAAGGTTTAGAACCTGCTTAACTATACTATACTTGTACTGCTAGCAAGCTACGTTAATAAGTATATCGATCCTGCTCGAAGCAATACTTAAGTTTTATTATATTAGCCGCGAAACGAAGTCGATAGACATAATTAGAGTTTTTATAATCCTAAGACGATACATAGACTTCTAATTAGTATACAGATTGTTAGATAGCGGTTAGAGGAAGAGAAGGTATTAGGTGCTACTATAATCGTTAAAGAGCTTATCCGAAGATAGATTAGGGTTTATTAGAAGGGTTCTAGGGTATCTAGCATCGTACTAACCTTTTGTTTCGTA